AAAGGAAGGTGCCAGAGTTGTGACTAGATCTTTTCTGACAGCAGCAGAATTTAGAAATCAGAGACGTAGACTAGAGCTGGGATTAAGGTGAGGCAAGTGAGGTGCCTAGGGTACAAAATTTAAAGGACCTTCACTCTTCATGCTCAGGGTCTGTCCTGGAATGCAAACACTGGAGTCAGACTGCCTGGATTATATCCCAGTTTTGTGTGCTGTTAGTGGGTAGTAGTTGGATAAGTTGCCTAACTTCTTGTTCCTTAGGTTCTTTTTCTGTAAAAAGGAGGTAATAATAATGCCTATGTTATAGGATATTTTTGTGTGTGTGAAAAATGAGTGTGCACACATGTAAAGTATTTATAAAGTGCACAGTAAGAATTTCGTTTGGTCTAGTTACCATGATATACAGATGTACATCTGAATCATTTGGTGAATAGAAAATGAATTTTCTCCATGTCTAATTTTAGAGACCTGGCAGAGATTGCTGAAGTAGGGTTGCCAGAAACAATAGCTACTGTGTTGGGGAAAAGAGTACTATAAATGAGAAGGAAAAAGGATTTTTCCTAATTTCTGAGCAAAATAAATAACAATTCAGTATTCTTGGTTGTCTTCAGTAGTGTACATGATCACTGCTGCCCAAACAGTATTACATTGTTTATTTTAAACAGCTAATATTTTAAAACTAGAACATTTTGATAAATAAAATTACGTAAAAAACAAAATTGAAGAGAAACAAAACATCAACTAATTTGAACTTTATATTATAAGCTCACAGCTAAATGGCACTATTTTTGTATTTTCCATATTACCTAGAGCAGTATTTAGTACTTAGTAAATACAGATTCTCAGTGGACTACTCCACCAGCACTGTCCCTTGCTCCCCGTAAAGCAGTTGAAAACGCATGGGGCCATATTTGCTTATCATAATGACTAGTGGGCACCTTTGGCATTTAGTAGGCTAGAGCCAGGTATGTTGCATTTTCTGTACACTTCCCTGCGGTACTACCCTGTACAATAAAGAATTGTCCTACCCAAAATATCAGTAGCATCTTATAGAGAAAAACTATTCTAGAAAACAAGTTTGTTTTCCCTTCTCTTTTTTGAATTAATATTGAATGTCTGGTAAATTCTTGATCATTTTTTTAGCTCTTGAATAAGACATAGTCTCTGCCCTGAAGGAGTTCTTTAATAGAGATGGTAGAGTTAGTGTGAAAGGTACAATTTTAACAACATTTCTAACAATAAGAAATATTTCTAAGATATAGAGGCAGTGTGGGATTTCTTTGAGGCTATGTGACTTTGAAATTTGCATTGTTTTGGGAATTATGAGGGAAGACTACCAATCATAAAGAGTAGTTTTACTAAGTAAGCTTCAGACAGGAAATATGTATGCTGTATGTCTAACAGCTGTGCCGTACACCTGAAACTAATATAAAATAATATTGAATGTCAACTGTAACTGAAAAAAATAATTTAAAAAAGCCAAATATATTAAAAAAAAAAAGAGAGATGGAGATTTAGGTGTGTGACTCATAGATCCCCTCAGCCATCTCAGCAGAAGCCAGGATAGCGATGGGATTATCCAGGAAATATGTGTGGAGGTCCATCTTGTCTAATGGAGTGAATCCCCATGATGTGTGCAGGAGACCCACAAGGTTTTTGAGAGTGTTATTATAGCAGAAACACTACCAGCTTGGACTGAAAGGGGTACAGATAGGACAGAACGAAAGAGGGACATTGGACTTCCCCCACCCCCACAAAACGAAATAGAATACAAGTTATGGTAGCAACTAGGTACCATATGGTATTGAGGAGCTTGGTCTTTAGTGTGAGAAGGAGTGCTAGTTAAAAATGCAGATTTTTAAGTTTCTGTTCCAGAGAGTCTGACTCAATAGGGATACATTTTCTTCTTCTTTGATTGCATTTACCAAAAAAAAAAAAA